TAAGAAAATTCCCGATTTTTCTAGTCGAATTAAATTCCCGGCTATTTCTCGGAATACCTTTGCGATTAATAGACACTCTGTTAAATGTATTCGTAGAAATTATAACACGTTTTTGATTCCCACATGGGAAATCTACATGGGATCCACTTTTATAAAGGAAACCATATTGATTCCTATGTAAAACCGTATGGTATAATTTTTCCATATCCCTATTAAAAATTTCCACATGGGATTTTACATTTTACCCGTTTTTGCGTAATGCCCGGATAGAATTTTGGAAAGCAACAACATACCCCAAACATTTCTAAAATTCAAGAAGAACAATTTTAATTCATAAATAGGAATTTGTTATTTATTTTCAAAGTCATTTCTAAAACATTTCTTGAATTCAAAAAAAAAATTTTGATTCATAAATCCCAATTTGCCCTAATGGCATCTTAAGGACTTTCTGTGTCCCAGTGCCCGCTGAAGTCAAATTTCAGTATTATTGATACTTTTACTGTATACCCTTTATATTGAACATAAATATTTTATTTTCTACGTTAAATATGATAATACATACTATGAAATTTTCAAACTTAAAACCTGAAAATATCAATATAGAAATTGTTTGCAAACTCTCACGTTAATTGATTTTAGAAAATTTGTAATCGGCATCAAATTCATGACTCTAAACTTTTTAATAAAATAAATGTAATGAATGTAATTAAAAATTTAGAAACATCAATCGATATCACTACCAACTTAATAAAAAATTAAACAATATTCAACAAAAAAAATTAATTAAAAATTTTGTCGAAAATCAAAAATATGATTTTGGCTTAAAAATTCGGATTAATTATTTATATTTCATTTTTATAGTAAAAATTAGTTGTATTTACATTAAAAAGTAGCTACAAAAAGTGTCACATCAATTTGACAAAAATTTAAAAAATTTGATTTTTTGAATTTTGTGAAAAAAGCTATAACTTTCGTTCAGCTTAATATTTTTCAATCGGATATGGCTATAAATTTAAGTTATTTAAGTTAATTTAGTCTCTTAGGTATTAACCTAAGAGACTATAAAGTTTTGCTTTAATCGGTCAAGTAGTCTTTGTGTTTATCCCGGACAAAATATTGCGTACAGACATACATACATACATACATACACACAGACATACATACATACATACATACATACATACATACATACATAATTTTTTTTATTGTCATTTTTGGAATTCTTACTACTCGAATAGAAAAACTAAACATGAAATTTCAAATTCTATGCAGTGTACAGACAAAAGTCTGATCTTATTTATAAATTATATTTCATTTTTATAGTAAAAATTAGTTGTATTTACATTAAAAAGTAGCTACAAAAAGTGTCACATCAATTTGACAAAAATTTAAAAAATTTGATTTTTTGAATTTTGTGAAAAAAGCTATAACTTTCGTTCAGCTTAATATTTTTCAATCGGATATGGCTATAAATTTAAGTTAAACTAATACCTAAGAGACTATAAAGTTTTGCTTTAATCGGTCAAGTAGTCTTTGTGTTTATCCCGGACAAAATATTGCGTACAGACATACATACATACACACATACATACATACATACATACATACATACATACATACATAATTTTTTTTATTGTCATTTTTGGAATTCTTACTACTCGAATAGAAAAACTAAACATGAAATTTCAAATTCTATGCAATGTACAGACAAAAGTCTGATCTTATTTATAAAGATACGAATAATGAATTAGTTAATACTAATACCCTATTTTATGAAGACAAATAAAAAATATTTCGACAAATAAAAATGTGTTATTTGGATACAGAATATACGGCACTGGCATTGATATAGTAGATTAGGCGTGATGCCTTCCAGCCTTCTGTGGCCGAGCGGTTTAAATACGTGCGTTTAAGACTTTCGGTATGCGTTAGGGGTGGGGGGACGGTGAGTTCGATCCCACATGCGAGCGAATATTTTTCATTTTAAGCCTTTTAAGCGTTATATAAAATAATAAAATTGTGTGTTGTGTTGTGAATAAAAACTGTGTGAACATGTTTGTAAATAATGTTAAAAGTCTGTTAAACAATCAGTTAATATATATAATATAATATATAAATATAATATAATAATATATTAATAAATTAAAAAAAATACTAAATATTTAAAAAAAAAATTTTTTTATTAAATATAGAATGAAATAATTTTTATAATTGATTCAAATAATTATTTATTAGTTTAAAATACTCCATTTATTTGATTTGAATAATTTGTATTTGATTCAAATAAATAGTTATTCAGTAAATCAATTAGAATTTACTGTTATTGAACAATTAACTACAACAAACGCTTATGATGAAGCATGTAGCATGTTGAAAAAGATTGTTGAAATCTCTAGGGAACAATCAGTAGTACAAACCATGGACATTTCCAAAGTTTGTTTTCATATGGATGAAATGGTACTTAGTATATTTGCGCTGTGCCAAATCTATACCATTATTAATTACTAAAAGTCTGTTAGTGCATTTTTCTGAGAAATGTTCCAAATTTTTAAAATGGAAATTGATTTTAGTTCAAAAATTATTACTTACAAGAATTTTATTACTTTACCTGACTTTTTTTAAAATTTTTAAAATTTTTTGAATTTGTAATAAGTTAAAAACGACCGTTGGTACGTAATGCTGTAAGCAATGCTCAAAACTTTGTAAGTTAAATTATTATCCTTTTATAAATATGAGTGATTTTATTTATTATCTTAATTTAAAATCATCTCACTTCAGATATTTTTACTTATTACTAGATCTTTGTTATTTACATGACATAGGTTATATTTTACAATAACTTTTAAATTTGTATTAAGTTAAAAACGACATTAGTGCGCACTTATCTGAAAAGTGCTTTAAATGTTTAAGTGAAATAATTGTTACACTCCATATTTTAAGTGATTGTATTTATTATCTCACTAACGTTAGATTTTTTAAAATTGTTATGAGTTACATAATGTTAAAAAAGATATTTTATATTATATTAATAAAAAATAATTTGAATATGAAAACAACGTTTTATTTATTGTCAACTAGGAATTCGACCTTTTTGAAATGATGTATGATTTTATTTTAATTAAAATAATTTTTATTCTATATAATAACTGCTTTTTTCACGTATTTATTAAATAATATTAAAATAATCATTTTCGCCACACCGTAAACGACGTCGTTTGCTACGCCGTTCACTACGTAGTTTACGAAGTCGTATACTACGTCATTCACTATCCCAATTTCCGCTTTCGTTTCCGACGTCGTATACTACGTGATATACGACGTCGATACGATGTCGTTTACGGCGTCATGTACAACGTAGTATACGACGTCGAATTTTCAACAGGGTTTGTTGCAATTTTTTGCAAAATACTTATTTCAATCAAGTTTTGTAAAAAAAATTGCAACAAAGCTTATTATTAGACTCTAATTATAATAGAAATGTTAAAATAATATTAAAATAAATAACTTGCAGAATTTACAAGAAATTTAGAATTTAGAAGAATTTATTTAAAAGTATTTAGAAGTCAACAATTTGGAGTCTTTAAAAATTATAACCGGTTCTTTGATAGAGACCCTCAGTTCATTGAAACTTGCAGAAGATCGTTCACACCTCACTTTTCCCGTTGAAAAATGAGGGAAGATTTAAATTTTAATAGATATTCAAATCTTCCCTCATTTTTCAACGAGAAAAGTGAGGTGTGAACGATCTTCTGTCTGCGCAGGCAGGCAGCCTGCAGAGGTCTGAATGCTCCTTTAATCTGAATCAATGAAATTTGACTGATAACCAGTGACTCTATTCTCGCGATTTGAATTAGTGGAATTTCACTAAAAATCAGTTAAAAATAACTGAAGTTTCAGTCATTTTCCACTGATTCGCCAATTAAAAAGCTACTGAAAATGTCTGTTACACATATTGAAAATTTCTATTTAGTGAAATTTTACTGATTCAAATCGCGAGAATAGAGTCACTGATTCTCAGTCAAATTTCTGTGATTCAGTTTTAGAGAGTATAATAATTTTGATTCAATAAAAATTACGTTTATAATTCAATTATAAATTGTCTTTAATTAAAACATATTTTTTTATTGTTTGCTTACTTATTTTTTTATTAAAAAATTTTTGTTCTCAGTGTACTTCCTTTTTTCATTATCATGGACTCTCAAGTTTATATCTCTATTGTTAATTTTAGATCTCATTAAATCACTAAATGAACATAGATCAGCATTCCATAATGAGAAAATCTCTCATATCAATTAAATAAACTTGTCGACTATATTGTAACAGAACTCATGATGCTCTCTGGGAATTGGTGTCTTGGCCAAAGGCCAGTGCGGGGAGGCTTCAAAGAAAAATGAAAGTAAGATTCTAGATCTCGACATGAATTAATATAATATAAGCGAGCTTCAAACTTGAGGCCTTCTTTCCATCTTCCTTTCATGTTGATTTTTTTCTCTTTATAGTTCCGATAAATTTCCGCCAAAAAAATTATTTCCCGAAACAGAAATTAAAAAATTTAAATTATTATATAACTGCAATGATTTTTTCTCCTTATCCTCAAAAATATTAAAAGAAATTATTTGATGAAAGTACAATTAAAATTTGTATAAAAAGAATAATTCTAGTAAAACTTAGAATGTAAATATTTGGCGCTTCTATTCATAAAATTAAAAATATTTACACTTAAACCATTTATTAAATAAAATAATTTTAATTTTAATATTAAAGTTTTTAATTCGAGGAAACTTAAATATTAATTCAAATAGAAACTAAAATTATTATTTTAAATGATTGTCTTTAGAAAAAGAATTCTAAAAATAGTATAATATTTGAATATTGTCTTCAGCCTGTAAATTTGAATTATAATAGTTTCGATGAAAATAAGGAAATAGTTTTTACTGTTTACAAATAAATATTTTCTCAAGTGAAAATCAAACCTTAAGGTTTTGTGAATATTCACCTTTATAATTATTATTTGACATGATAATAAATGAATTTTCGATAGTAACTTATCATGGCAAATGTAATACTTTAAAGGAAATTTTATCCAAAATGTCAATAATTTTGGGAGCAGTGTTATTTCTTGGTGTTGTTGCCTACGCATATCCGTTTCTAAAAAACTACTGTCATCAAACCTCAGATAATCCAGAAGGTAAATTTCGTGTTTACTTTTTCAATCGCTCTTTTGTTAAAACAAAGCCATTAAATAATAATCGCAACAACCTTGATTTCAGGGACTTTTGTTCTTTTTTTTACTTAACAGTCATTAGGATTAATGAGAAATATATCGCATTTCAAGAGTCATTTTTTAAAAAAGTAACTGTTAATTTTTCTTTTTTTTTAATTTTATTGTTTATTTTTTCCTTTCGCTTAGAAAATTTTTATAATTACTTATTTTTTTTATATTACATATAATATCCTATATTGTAAAATAATTTTTTAATACTGTTAAAGCAAAATATTCTCTATAAAATAGAGAAAAAATAACATTCTCTTAATCGTCATTCTTATGCTATTTATTTTAAATGTAAAATTTATTATTGTAATTAAATATATCGACAAATAAGAATGAAAAATTTGCAGAAATTCCAATACAGAAGAATGAAGAACAAGAGGAAATTATAGATAAAGATTTGCCAATGAAGAATAAATCAAATGTAATTAAATTAACAAAATTAAAAGAAACAACGGTAGAAAAGGAAATTAAGGAGGAACAAAGGATGAATGAGAAAAAGACATCAAGTGAAGAGAAGAGAATTAAAAGAAAAGAAGGATGTCATTTGGAAAAGGAATTTTCGAAAATCAATGAAAAGGATACAATAGACGTTGATGAAATAGTTGAAGATAAAGAAAAAGAAATTGATAATGATGATGATGAGGATGATGATATTGAGAGAGAAGATGCAGATAGAACAGTGCGAAGAAGATCATCTCTATTATCGAATATAATTATTAAAAATAATATTTCTCCAAACAAAATTTCTCAACCAATCACTGTTCAAGCTGTTGTTCATGAAAATAAACGAATGGTAATTCTCCAACAACCATTAAGCAATGAAAGTCCTCTTATTCCAAAGAATAATTCAAAAATTGACAGTTTTTTGAAAAAAAAGCACAACATTGGTAGGAAAGTAAAGAAATTTTTCACCAGTAAGTGAAAATTTATGGAATATTTTTTTAATTATATAATTTTTATTTTTTTTCTATCAAAATTAAGTCTAATAGTTAAATATATTGCTAAGCAATATAGTAAAGATTTTTTTAACATTGCTAAGTAATATTGTATTAATATTGTTGACATATATCCTGCTATTAGGGTATTTACACGAATTTCATTTAAATATTCAAATCAAATTAATTTAATTGTTTTTAATTTAAACGAAATGAATAGAGAACAAATTTTTTTTAATTAATGAAAAGAGAAACTTTTTCCATTCAGGATCAGAGAGAAAGAAGACGCGATCACCAATTGAAGAAAGTGGAAGTAGTTCTGATTATCCTCGAAATCATTCAATTTCAGAAATTCATTCAACACCGACGAATATTGTGAATCAACATCATCCACTTGCGAATTCAACGATTCTTAATTCTCAACAACCTGGAAACATGAATTTTCAATTTCGCAGTCCAAATGGAATTCTTTCAGTTTATACACAAGCATCAAATGGAAGAATTAATTCACCAGATGATTCTGGATTTCGCAGTTCAATTGAAACATCAACAATTTATAAAGATTTGCCAAATGAAAGAAATAATTCAATTTTATTACCATTGCCCAATAATTCAAATGAGGGGAATTGTACTATTTTTTCAATTGTAATGGGAATTTCTAATAATTCCAGTGGTGAAAGTAGAAAATAAAATCATTCAATATTCAAAGTGATTATTGAAAAATTTTATCAATTCGATGGATTTGTAATTCGTCAGTTAATTCTTAGATAGCAGGTATACTTGCTGTAAGTTTCCTGCAAGATAACATACTATTTGGGATGAAATTAAAATTAAATTAAATTGTAGATTAAATTGTAGAATCAATTTAAAAAGTTACTATCAATTTTTTATTTATATTGAAAAAAAATTATTGAAATTCTTTATTTTCCTTTAGTCATTTACTTTAAACGAATGGGAAATAAAAGGCAAATAAAATTTGAAAATAATTTGCAATTAATACGTTTGCTTTGATTATTCAATTTTGTAAAGTAAATGCTTCTTGTTTTTTAGCATTGTCTTTGTTGTTTATTCATAAGTTTATTGTATTTTGATTACCAATTTTGTCCAATTGTTTATATTATTAGCCTATATTTATTTCAGAATTTTGTAATTATATCCCATAGTAGAACGTAATATTACTGTAACATTACATGAATTACTGTAATATTGCATCAATATTACAATAATATTACAGCAATATCAAAATATCCGCCTCGAGATATTATTGTAATATTACATTAACATTACGTGTATTACTATAATATTGCATGTAATATTGTAATACTGCAGTAATATTGCAGCAACATTAAAATATCCGAGATATTATTATAATAATATTACGTACTACTTGGGTTATCTCTCAATTTTCGTCGATTTGTAATTTTATAAAATTGTCATTCAATTGTACAAAAAATTTTTTTTTACTGTGTTTTAGTCATTTTTTGTCTATAATATTACATAATTGTATGAATATATAAATTAAATTATTATTATAATAATTATTATATCATATACTATAATAATTATTACAATAATAATAGTAATTAATCACAAGTAATTACAACAATTAGTTGCACTAATTTCAAGTTCCATAACATTTTCTAATTGAAAAAGATTCATTTACCCAGGATTCAATAATAAATTTTATTTTCTTTATTATTATATAATATTAAACAGTATAATTCAATTGTTCAATTATCAAAAAATGATACTCACCTTGTTAATTTTTCTGTATTATGAAAAATAAATAAATGAAAAAAAATGATAATTTAAAACGATTAGTTAATAAATTTTAATGACATTAAGTGGTGTATTGTATTTGACAAAATGAATTTACCGTGATGTTATGATTTTATCTTGATGATATTATGACATGACTTGAACAAGTGTAAATTAAATGTGAATTTTAGCACTTTTAATTTTAACAGAATTTCATTTAATTTAGGGATAATTAGCATACATGTGTATATATGATCAATTGAATTTTGTTAACATTTCGTAAATTATATATATTTGATACAAGATAGATCGTTACCCGACCGGTTTCACATGTTGTCAATATTTAATTTATTTCTGTATAGAACGCAAGTTTCATGATCACAATATTTTATAGTACCTATTTATTTATTTTTTTAAATTACTGTAATTTATTTTATAATATATTTATTATAATTTATTTATTGCAATTTTATAAGTATGCTATTTATTTAACACATTCGAAGTACATGAGTTCAAAAACGGAATTAATATTTACTTATTAACATAGGTATTATATAAAATACAATACGATTTATTTATTATAATATAATTATATATAATTAATCAAAAAAGTAACTAATTAATTGATTAATTAACTGTTTAATTAACTAAGTAACTAATTAATTAACTAAATAATTAAGTAATTAACTAAATAATTAACCAATTAACTAATTAATTAACGAAATAACTAATTCATTAAGTAATTAAACAAATAACTCAATAATTTACTAACTAATACTACATACATGACTAATTAACTAAATACATTTACTAATTAACGAAATAATTAACCAATTTACTAAGTAATTAACTACATTGACTAATTAACAAAATAATGAACTAAATGAGTTAACTAATTAACCAAATAATTAATTAATTTACTAAGTATTTAACTACATAATTGACTAATTAATAATAATAATAATTTTAAGTAAAGAAAAAATTAAATGATCTTTTTTGATGCTTTTTTTATATAAAATTCCCCTAATTTATCTATTAAACTGACGTCTTGTAAAAACATGTCTACTCATTGGCGATATGATTAATGATATTTTTCCGCAAGATCGTTAGTTTCTTCGTATTTTTTTTAATTACAAAATTTCTTTTGATTATTTCCTCTTTCCTGAAATCCTTGATGACAAATATCATTTAAGTTTAATAAGAAATTAAAAATTCTTTCTGCAAATTTTTTTATATCTGAGAATTGGAATATTTTAAATGATTTTCCCTTTGTCTTAATGTCATATATATTGCTGACAAAATCCTTTTCAATAATTACATGTATCGTGATTCAGTTCTTTTTTTTCTAAACTTTTCCATGTAGGGAAAAATTACATTTCCGCTCGATTTATTAAATATAATTTTTTTTTGTTATAAAACAATTTTTTTAAATTCGCAGTAAATTATTTATTGTCAGGAAGCAAATAATATACTAAGAATTTTATTTTGAAGAATTTTATATTTTTCTGTAGATATAGTATACATTTTTTTGTTTTGTTGATTATTTTACGTACATAATTTATTATATTATGTACGTGACGTTATGTAGTAGAGATGAAAAGAATAGATAAATTATATTATTGATATTTGTAATAAAAAAAAAGAAAAAAAAATTTATTTCTGTAATTTAATTGTAGTTTCAATTTATTTGTTAATATTTGACACATTACTTAATACATTTGATTGAAAAATTTTCTCTCAAAAATATTAATGGAGACTATTTTTTTTGAAGACAGAAAAACGATTCTTTTGTTCTGAAATTACTCAATGACAGAAGAATAAAAAGCGGAACTTCCTATATTCTTCCAACTAGGAGAGGATAAATGTATTTTGTCATGGACCTCTGAATGATATCCTTGAATATTGTAGGCCTTGATATCAGCGTAAACTCGTAATAGAGATTTGTATCTAAGCAAAAGATCGGTGAACTGGTCCCTGTTAGATAGTAACAAACGAGACTAGTTTATATAATGTCCTTGGTCAGTGAAATGTTCCTTCCGTATAAAAACTCCATCATAGAACGGAAGCGTAAAAAAATTTCTTCACATATTTTTTTTCTTTCACAAATCTCGATACTCTAAAAGGGGACGTCCTATATTCTAAAAAAAGACATTCTAATTTTTTTTCTAATTTATTCTTTTTATTTAACTAATCAATTAAATAATCAATTAGATTAGGTAATTAATGGATTAAATAATGAGTCAAATTTGGTGATTAATTAATAAAACAATTTAATGAATTAATTATTCATTAATAAATTTACTGATTGAATAACTAATTAACTAACAAATTAATTACCTGACTAATTAACAAACGAATTAAATACCTAATCAATTACCTAATTAATTAACTATGTAACTGATTACCTGAATATTTAACATTAATTAACTAAGAAACTAATTGGCTGTACTTTTGTAAATTTATTACTTTTATAGTGATAAACAACTCCAATAAATATTTTTTCAAAATTTTGAAAATTACCAAAAATATGTCATTTTCAAAATTTTTGTCTTTTTTTTTAAAGTGCTATAACTTTCCCGAGTCGAACTTTTAGACCTGCTTACCTCCTTAAAACTGAGGGTTTGTAAGGATGTAATAGGATGAAAGCAGAGTTTATTTGCATTGCAAGTTAACTCTGATTACCTCCTGCAAACCCCTGGTTAGCGACAAATTTAGATGGTAAAAGGGGGAAAGCAAGGTGTTCCTAGAACCTTATTAAATACTGCTTGACCCTTACTTACAGAATTCTTTCCTCTCGCTCATAGCATATTTGAGATCATTTTAAACTAATTTTTATAATAACTTTAATTATTAATAAATGGCATTATTATTTAATGATTTTTACTTTTTTTTTAATTTAATCGTGACCAATAGCGAATTCATAAATAATGTTAGTTCATATGTGGGGATTAATACATATCCATTTATATATAAAAAAAAAAAATTTAATTTAATATTTGTTAATTAAATTATTTAACGGTGTATATAATCATTAAATTGCATACTTATACCTATACAATACAGAAAAATCGGAATAAACGCAAACCTACGAAATAAATAAAATCTAACGCACGCGAGACTTGAACCTACGACCTACGAACTACGGACTACGAAACTAACGCCCTAACCACTATGCTACGGAACCTAACTGAACACAGGCGCTCTATTTTCAGTGACTTGTTGAGTGATTCAATAAAGCATTAATTGACACTAATACACTACAGCAAATAAATAAATTGTTTAATAATAATAACCTTTAAACATTCATAAATTAATATCTTTATTATTTAAAAAAAATGTCAAAACATTTCAGTTAAAAATAATATTTATAAATTAATAATAAAAATGTACATGTTTCGGTAACCTATTCGCAGTTTGAAGTTAATTGTTGTTTACATTTTGGTTTCTTAATCTTTTTTTAATTTTTCTTTTCAAATATTTTCAATTTTAAAAATAATGTATTGAAAATCTTCGAATTGTTGCAAAGAATTTTATCAAAAAATTTCATAATAATAGAATATTCCTTCAAAGAATTTCTTTATTTAGAAAAATAACTAAATTCTCGCAAAGAATTTTATTAATATTTTTAAAAATCCTAATTAAATTTTTTTGAAAAATTTCTTTGAATTTTTTTTTAAACTAATGGAGTTTCTTTAATAATTTTAATTGAAAATTTCGAAAGCAATTGAATTTTATGAAGAAGAATTTTATTAAAATTGTATTGAAAATAAGTGATTTCTTGCGAAGAATTTATTAAAATTTTAAGAAATAATTAAATTGTTTATGAAGAATTTTATAGAAATATTTAAAAATCATGAAATTTTTTCGAAAAATTCAATTAAAGTTGTTTCGAAAATAATTGAATTTCTTTAAAGAATTTTATTAAAATTAAGTATATTCAAAATAATTGAATTCATCATAAGAATTTTATATACTTTTCGAAAATAATAGAACTATTTCAATTCTTTTGACGAATATATTCAAAAATTGTATTGAGCTAGTAATTTAATTCTTATATAGAATTTTTTTAAATATTTTGAGAATAATTAAATTGTTTTTCAAAAATTTTAAATTCTTGTTGAAACTAAATTTTATGGGAATTTTTGAAAATAATTAAATTCTTTCGATTAGTTTTATTTTAATTGGGTTAATAATTATTTAATTCTTGCAAAGAGTTTTAATATTTATAAAAATAGTTGAATTATTTCGAAGAATTTATTAAAGTTTAAGGAAATAATTGCAATTTATGAAAATATTTTAAAATATTTGAATTCATCTAAGGAATTCAATTAAAATTGTTTTGAAAATAATTGAATTCCTGCAAAGAATTTTACTATTTATAAAATTAATTGAATTCTTGCAAAGAATTTTACTATTTATAAAAATAATTGAATTTTTTCGAAGGATTTATTAAAATTTTAGAAAATAATTGAATTCTTTCGTGAAATTTTCAAAATAAAAAATTTTGTAATTTGCAAAACAATAATAAGTTGAATATCATGTACTGCGCGTAACATTTCCTATTGCGTAAGAATGTGGTAGAAGCAATACAGGGTTTAAGGTTCAATTAGGACTTAAAAAGGAGTTGTCAGAGTTAAATAGAACTTACGCAGGAGGAAAAAAACACCAAGGGTTTGTTAGGTGCAGGT